GGTTTTGCGTTTGGATTTGGTTTGTTTTCGTTTGCTTTTTCGTTGTTTTTTGTGTTGGTATTGGTGTTTGTGTTTGGGTTTGTTGTTAGGTTTTTGTTTCCGTTTGCTTTTTTGTTTGTTTTTTCTTTGTGTTTGTATTGGTGTTTGTGGTTGTGGTTGGGTTTGTTATTAGGTTTTTGTTTTCGTTTGTATTTGTAATTGTGTTAGAGTTATGTTTGCGTTTTGTTGTTTTGGTTTTGGTTGGTTGTGGTTTGGGTGGGCAATGCCGGGTTTAGAATGATTACTAAACACACAGGTAATGGTCTTTAACAGAAAGGTTTTTCACAGAAGCCAGAGCAGGGCCTGGCCGGGACGGCTAGTACAAATTATAATTGTAGCCTATTAGAATGTTATGACAAGTCTACACTACAGTGTAAAGTTCATAAATAGAAGTGACCTCAATGTGTTTGGAATAGCCGTAGTGGCCTACTGTTTTGTGTTTACTGATTCAAAATTACAAAACGATCTATACTAAATGCAGATGTATGGACTATTACTAGTCTACATGTATACATTACGTACATGCTAGCTATTGTAGGCAAGACAGTTTTTTGCAACAAATATACCTTACAAATCTTACTTTTAAAACTATACTTTGGTATACAAATAACGAATACTAAACCTAGTAAACGAGCCAGCAACTGCCACCTCTATTCTTGTTATTCTTTTACTACTAGAAATATGCAATTAATTACAATATTTCTGAGAAAAACTCTATACTAACCTTCTTATAAATGCATAAATATATATTTTTTAAGTACATTTCGATAATTAATTATCAAAATAATATTTATGTCACTCCACATCGAAAATCTGCAATTTCCAAAAAATCCTAAAAAAATGACCGTGTGCCCTGACGGTACTTACAAATCCACTTGTAAACATCGATCTAATACAAAGACAATTTGATAAAAATTGCATAACTATAAGTTAAACGCATTTGCCTGTATATTGAAGATGCCAATAAAAAATATTCGGTGTTGAAAACTTGAAGAATAAGGTAAAACAAAGGGAAATCAGGAATACTTGTGAGATATGTTCAGAACGATTGTGAACTTTCGATAGATACAGGTAGAGATTGAAAATGGCGCCACACCAGAAATTTTCAAAAAACATCTATCCCTCCACCTACCTGTGACTCAGGGGAGATAATACTATCAATTACATTAATATTTTTTTTAATTTGTCTTAAATTAAAAATAATACAGGCGCTTAATTAAAGTGGTACTTATAAGTACCGACAATAGATAAATGGTTAAGTTAAAGCTATTTATTGGGTCGCTATTATTTAGGGCTTTTTCCTGAGATCATTTGCCCTGAGATAATTTGTCCGTGGGATATTCTGACATGGAACCATAGATAGTATTAAACTCTTTTAGTTTTAACGAGTCGTTGTTTCATTAAGTCTTGTAACCCGTATGTTGTTGTACGTCTATTATATTGCACTACACACTGGATCACTCGTAAAACCGTGCCGGGACGTATGTTCACAACTTGCATACAACATTATTTGCATTTATTTGAAAGATAATTCTATTGAATCGGCCTGGAAGTTAGTTGTTCATTAGAATAAAACGTATTTTATTATATTATTTATAATGAACGAGCAAAAATTCTGAAGAGTGGGAGATGGGGTGGGGGTGGCACACGTAACCGCAATTTTTAATTTACGTTCAATATTTGTCACTACTTTATAACCTAATTAAACCTATTTCATTGCTAAATAACAAAATATCTAAGTCCTGAAATAGTTCAGTACAAACCGCAGTTATTCTTAGTCTTTGTGTTTTTATACTTTTTTTCTGTTTTCAGCTAATTAATATTTTAGATTCTACTTTTTCTCCGACAGAGCTTAAAATGATAAAATAAACTTGATAGATTTAGAGAACATTATGAAACATAAACTATTTTTTATGTAGATCTCGAGGTACATGTCAAGTAACTTTGTTGACTTCAAGGCCTATTCACTCTCGAAGCAACGACAAATAAGTAAAGCTGTGATATACTGTAGGTAAGCTAGATAAATCCTTATTGCATCTTTAGTAATTAGTTATGGTATATTTATTTGCATATTTTATATATATATATATATATATATATATATATATATATATATATATATATATATATATATATATATATATATATATACACATATATACATATATACTAGCGTACCCGTCTAAGAACATAGGATTGGTAATGCATTGATGAAACCCTTCTTATATATTTTATCAGACTTTCTTATATCCCCGCGGCAACGCGCGGGGACGGGTACGCTAGTATATATATATATATATAAATCTTAATTAGTCTGGATTTCTGTTTTAACAAGCATTGGGTAAAGAATAGGGTAGAGGGCTAACAACAGTGTAAAAGAATGCTCTTAGACTATCCAGTCAAGAAACAGTAATATCATTCTTTGATTTTTATTTATCTGCATTCCACATGACTGATAAATAATAGAATAACTATTTAAATTATCATACAGGTATCAACCGGACAGGATAATAATAAAAAAGGGGAACTTTTCCAATGGGCTTTATTTTCTACTATCGGGTTCATGTGAGTAATTAAACAATAGAATTTTAACGTAAATAATTATTTTTAAGTAAGCTGTCTAGGCTATTATTCACTACTAGCAATTACTTAACTTAAAGACTAAATAAAGTAATAATTATCTAACATATATAGGAAAGGTGGGGCTAAAGTTCACCTGGTGAAGTTGACATAAGTGCCCTTCAGACATAACTAAATTATTTAATTAAAATTTTAAACTTGCAAGTTCCTTAAATTAATGTTAACTTACATGGTAAAATGAAGCTACTAACACATACTGTTCTTCACCAACCTCAAATCCAGTCGAATAGTCAAAGTAGATTTGAAATATTTGGAGTTGTGGTGAATAAACACATATATGAAAATATTTTCCCTACCTTTGTCTCGTGTATAGCCCAACCTTTTAAGGTAATCCATTTAAGACGTCCACAAAAATGTGTTTCGATTTTCCCCCACCCCCTCCTTCCTTCCGTTCTCATACGTCCACTTTCGATGAACTCCCACTAAAACCTAAACCTTGTGTATTAATTTAAGAAGCAGTTTTAGAGGTAAAGAAATTCATGATTTTTTTTTAATTGGATGTCGCTACGTGTAGTTTGCAACCCCCTTCCTCCCCACTCTCCCCTCGTAATGTTACTATTCATACTACAACCACATGGAATTTAAATAGATGATTTTTGTTGAATTGAAATTAATGACTTGATTATGCTATAGTAGCTTTTTTTACTTTTTACCCCATGTCCTGTGGCAAAACGTAACAACCTTGATCAAAGCGCATTTTTCATTTAAATTTAAAAACAAAAAGATTAAGTTAATTTTCTTTGTTCTATTTTTCTATGTATATATTCCATCTTGTGCAGTCTTATTAGTGGTGATGAACCTTTATTTGTCAAATATGACAATAGACAGACTTGTGACGTTTAGCCCTACCTTTCATTACATTCATGCCATTGCACATGCTCAAAACGCATTTGATTACACATGACAACAAACACAGGCACATATATTTACATTTTCATTAATTAAACTATATTTTAAACGTGCTGTAAAGTAATACAGCAGTATAATTAGAGGCCTGCCGACCCATTTCGTCGCCCCAAGTGAATAATTGATTTTGCGCAAGGTCCCTTCCCCTTCTGTAGGCCAAACTCATGTAAATTGTAAAGATCCCGTGGATCGTAACAATACATACATTTAAAAGTCTACATAAGCCTATAAATATAGTTGCAATTGGTGACATCCCCATCCCATTTTACATAATGGCATTAATTTGTGCGCAAAATTCACCCATTAGTTCATTTGGAAAAAGCATCGGTTTCATCGTAAGTCATTAGATATTGGCGTCACCCCCTCTCCTGACGTTGATTGACTTTTCTGTTATTCAAAATAAAAAAATTTATATATATTTTGCAATTTCTTGCCAGGGTGTCACCCGGTTCCGTCCGATATATATATATATATATATATATATATATATATATATATATATATATATATATATATATATATATATATATATATATGTGACCTAGGCTAGTTGCATCTTTCCTGTTCGCAACGCCAAATGTGACCTTCCCCGAGTCTATCCTGCCGACAACGCCAATTGTAACGAGTTGAACCACTCATGCTACACAACATCGACTACAGTAGAAAGACTCGAAGATGCAGGTTCGCTATTGATCCTTTTATTACATGAATCAAGAAATGCTTCAATATAACACAATGAATCAACAGAAATGTTTCACAATAATAGTCTGAATCAACTGACCCCCTAACAGTCCTCACTAGGCTTCATATAACTGAATCCACATGTCTATTGTCCTTCTTAACACAATATAACCAACTTGAGTATGTCACACAGACTGACTGATCTAAAGCGAGCGATGAAGATGGAAGAGAGCTCTGAGTTCAGTCGTCCCCTCCTATTTATGCCTTGTATCCGTACTCGTCTCCGTACTTGTATTCCTCCGTAATCGATACTTGTACTCGATGTCTCCGACCACTAGTTGCGTAGTTCTAACGTACAGTCCGTGAAATAACATCTGCATCCTATCAATCAAAGTTGACAGGCCGTCTGGATCTCCTCGTACCGTTTCCCAAAATAGCACGCGTTGGCTTTGAGATTGTTATCAGCCCGACCCAATAAGCCACCTGCTATGTTGCGTCAGACTGCAATACTGCGTCTCGGCTTCTCGTTCGTTATCAGATTTGTAACTAGTAGTTAGGCCCACCCTAGCTACATCCACCCCTGCCTTTTTTTGTGTGTTTTCAACCACAAACAACGCCTGGCAGGTGCACTCCTCCAAAGTCAATCGCATAATCGTAAAAAAATTTTATTGTTCCACTCACTGTCCACGACGTCCCATTCGTATACGATTGACAGTTATACCTATTTCACATATCAACTGTGTCTACATCGTCTTCCTGAGACACAAAACAGTTCTAGAATTCACATCCACCCTTTTCGTTTGGTGCCTTCACCAGTTCACTTTTATAGCTTTTTGAACCGTCTGTTCTCATACCAGCGCGACCATGAAAGACTTGATGGTTGCTGACAAAAAATTTCGTCTTCCTTCTGTTCCTCAAACTTCTCCGCGGACCACTTATCTGATGGTCTACTGTCTCTCTGCTTCTGGAAGGAACGGGATCCTCTTTGTTGCCGTTATCCTCCACTTGTGTATCGCGGTTGTTCTGATGATGGTGGTATGGTTCCGGGATGGGTATGTGAATTTCCGTTATAGTTTCCGGTTCCCTAATTGTCTTGGATTTCCCTGTGTGTAACTGCTCTTCTTGCCTATTCCAATATTTCTTTAATTGAGCAATATTCGCCCACCGATCCGGTTTGGCGTGATCGATGGGTCTTATCTTAAAGGGGCCACCTGCTACTTTAGGCATCTCCACGACTTGCCATATCTCCTGTCCCCAGAGATCGTGGATTTTGTTTCTGCCTAACGGGTGACTACGCAGTAATACCCTGTCATTCAGTTTGAGTGGCGGGTCCTTTGTCTGTACCGGCGGTTCCCTTCGCCGTGCTTCATGTTCTAGTCTTTCCTGTACTACCCTGTACATTTCTCTAATTCTTCTCATATGTTCATTCACATATTCCAGTGCGGTGTATGAGCCAGTCATACTCTCCCTTTTTCCTAAGAACAAATCAAGAGGGAGTCGAGCCTCCCGTCCGAACAGCAACATGTATGGCGTAAAGCCGGTTGTGGCATGGGGTGTGCAGTTGTATAGATATACCAACTCTGGGAGAAAATCAGGCCAACGTTTTTTCTGTTCAGGTTCTAGCGTACGCAGCAAATCATGCATGCTGCGGTTGAACCGTTCACACTGTCCGTTTCCTTTCGGATTAAATGTGGTTGTTCTAGATTTGTTGACCCCGTAGTGGCTGCACAGTTGGTTAATTACTTCTGACTCGAAAGCCCTTCCTTGGTCAGAGTGTAATTGTCTTGGTATGCCATATTTGATGAACCAATGTTCTATTAAGACCTTTGCCACTGTTTTGGCGGTCTGATCTCGCGTGGGCACCGCCACCGTCCATTTGGTGAATACATCAGTCATTACCAACACATGTTCCGTCCCATCCGATGATTGCTCCAACGACGTAAAGTCCATAGCCACAATCTCTAGTGGTTTTGTCGCTAGTAGGTGTCCTGATGGCTGTCTCATTTTGACAACTGGCATTTTCGCATGCTGACACCTCACACAAGCCTCACAATGGCGTTTGACCTCCATTTCCATATTGGGCCAGTAACACCTCCGTCGTAATATTTTGTGCGTCCTGTCCTGACCCTGGTGTCCTGCCCTGTCATGTGCCAACCTTAGCACTTCTTCCCGTAACTGTCCAGGCACCACCACCTGGTGTATTGTCCCATCAATTTGGTCATGAATTCTCCGCATGAGATCACCATCCTCTATACTGAGACGGTCCCACTGACTCAGTATTTTCTTTGTTTCTCGACCAAATTGTTCTCTTTCCCTTCTTCCTGGGAATTTTTGTTCCTGGACGTATTTCAATAGCGGTTGTAAGCCACTATCCGTTCTCTGGGCATCTCTTATCTTTTGGTGATTAAGGCAAATAAAATCACCACTGTCCATATGTTCGGGTTCCGTGGATATGTGCTCCACCCCGGTCTGCCCGTTCTGCATCACTTGTACCCCATGAGGGATATCTGTTGACGCTCTGACCTCACATATTCCTGTCAGTGTTTCTTCCTCATCACCCGGTCTCTCGTAAGGATTCCTTGATAACGCGTCAGCATTACCATTGGACTGCCCTGGGCGATATTTTATCTCCAGGTCAAAGAGTGCCAATTCTGCTGCCCATCGCTGTTCGATGGATCCCAACTTTGCTGTAATTTGAAGTTCTTTTTCAATATCTGATAATTTTTCTAGTTTGCCAACACTGTTCTGTTGTCCACTATTTTTATTTACTTCTTCCGATAACAGACACTCTAAAGATGAACATTTCTCCTGTGCTTTTAATTTGCATGAACTTTTCCTATCCAGTTTCCTGGTTAGACTTTGAATTCCTTTATTAAGTCTACCAATTTTCTTCTTATCATCATTTTTCTCTACCAACAAATTGTTCACTTGAAACTTTTCAACATTCAAGTTCATTTCACAGTTCATTTTTTCCATTAGTTGTGTTTTGCCTTTCTTTTTCTCCTTACTGTGTTTCTTTGTCATTTTGTTTACTAAGTCATTACCTCGCCGCTCTGTAGCCTTGACCTGCCCTACAGAGAGCGATCGTTTCACCGGACAGTGTTGTGCCATATGTCCGGGTTGTGAGCGGGACACGCAAATTGGTCGACCATCAGCCGTCCACCGGAGCGATGGACCGGCAGGTCGCGGCTGTCCAACCTGTCTCTGTTTTGTCCCGTTTTTGCCCTGATTCTCAGCTGTTGACCTGCTGTCTAACCTCTCCAATCGTTGGTCAACCTTAACCAGGTGGGCCAACAGTTGAGCCATCATGGTCTCCATCGTGTCGGCCCCTGTGGGTG